CAGTTTAATTAAACAATTGTTACTTATTAACTTAATAGGTAATTAGTATTTAAGGTAATAAGTACAAATATACAACGTGGTAGTACATGTAGTTGCAATTTGTTTAGAATTATTAGTTGTTTCCAACAATCTGATTAGAATCAGCTTCATAATTACACATAATTACACTCCGCTTTAAAGATTTGACAGACACCCATTGCGGACCACCTTTTTGTGACCTTTCAATAATCCAATCTGAGTGGCCACTTGAGGTTTCTATTTTCAACCATTGGGAATTTTGGGATATGTATACATGTAAATTTTCACAATTTAAAGATATTAGGATGAACAAAATTGGCAGCACCAATGTTGTTTTATATTTATAACTAACCTAAGAATAATGCTGAGATACCAAAAATGATCGACTATTATGTTCCACATATCAGAAGTACTGTACTGAAAACTGTGTTCTTAAGTGTTTTTGTAATGTAAAGTTCATGACTTGCCTTACTTAATTCACAGTTGATGATGATTTTGTGAAATGCTTCTCTGTAAAAGATGATTTGGTTGGTTGGTTAAAAATAGATTTATTTTATAATCCAAATTAGCTGGAATATTAAGCAGTGTTATCATGACAATCAGATCTACATGTAAACATAAGATCATCTTAACTTAACCCTTTCACTGCCATAGGGACGGCTTATGCCGTCCCTGTTATTTTCAGCGTATTTGCCATATGGACGGCTTTAGCCGTTTCTATAATAATAATTTTAATAATAATAATAAATTAATAATAATAAAAGTAAAATAATAATAAATATAAAAGAAGTGTACAATTAGTAATTTAGTATTTAAAGGCATATGCTAAAGGCCACATATAGACATATATATCAGAATGAAAACATCAGGATAGAATTTATTTAAAACTTTGCATGATCTTAGATTATTATAACAGAAATATTTAAAAATTAAGAAATTTGAGATCACAAATGTTGTACATCGTCATGTCATTTTTAACATACTAGAATAAATACTGCAATTCAAATTTTACCATTCTTTATGTGGGGCATATTGAGTCTTTCTTTAACTAAAATTCCTTAAATGAAACCCTTTCTATTTTGGACAAAAATCCTTCATGAAATTGGGAAAGTTTTATATTATGTGACTGAATCAAAAAAGGGCCCCCAGGCCTTTGTTGAAAGAAAAATCTATTGTGCTCACAATTTTAAATCATTCAGACCTTTTATTTCATATGACTTTAATCCTAAACTTTTAATTGCCAATAAAAATATTTTACTTTTTTTGGATAGGGAAAAAGTTTTACAATAATCCCCCCTAAAATTTTAGCTGGGACAATGCAAACTTTTGGCAAATTTTTTAGATTTAATGTAAGATACCAAAAAGAAAAATAAACCAAAGTACTGTACTATGATTCTTAAGTGTTTTTGCATTTAAAATTCAGTTGTTTATCAATTGTTGATTTTGTGTTTTTTAACTTTTTGTTTGGTAAATGTTTACTTGAAATTTCCATTTTCAGTAAGATAAGCTAAAAAAGTCTTAAAATAAGATAAAAAATCCAGATTTTCTTATGTCAATATTATATATTTTTTTAAACACCTTAAAGGGACTTGAGGTTTTTTGACATGATTGGACTAAAAAATTTTTTTTCAAATAAATGTACTATTTGATGTAGGTTTAGACCACTAATCTTTGTCCAAAATTTCAGATCATTTGCGCACTTTGTTTTTCCAAAATAATTATTCAAATTGTAAAAAACGACCCAAAATGAAAAGCGTTTAAACACTTTTCACTCAAATCGGGCTAAGAAATGCATAAAAATACGATTTTCAATTTCTTTCAAAGTATATTTCTTAACTATCTTTGCATATATTTCTGTTTAAAGAGGCCAGCTCATTTATGTAATAAAATTCAAATGTGATGTTTTTATGCTTGTAAACCTCAGTGGAGTCCCTTTAAAAAAAACAAAAAAAGTCAGGATTTTCCAAGAAAAAAAAAAGAATTCCCCAATTTTCTTAAGTATATTTTCAAACAGAAATTGGCATGAAAAAAATTCTGAATGAACATAAAATTATTTAAAATATTATATCAAAGCATTTTCTTTTTAGAATATTTTGTTACGTTTTCCGATTTTCTAAATTACATTTTTCCCAGAACCGGCAAAAATCTGAATATTTGATTATTCAAATTACAGTAAAATTCCTAATAAACGCCCCTCCCCTAATAAAGGCCCCCAGGCCTTTTGATAAGGAAAACAATCTACTTATCAGTGCTGAACTCATAATTAAAGCCATATTAACACTTTTTAGTGTTATTACCAACACTTGCTAACACTAAATGTATTTACAGTGATTTTTGGATTTAGGAAAAACTGTATTGTAATAATAGCCCCCGTTTTGGAAAATGTTTAGCCCCCGGGGCCGTTTAATAGGAATTTTACTGTATATGACACTTAGTTTTATAATGAAAATTCAAAGCATTTTCTTTATCAATATCATCAATAAAAAATATATTTTTTCTCCAATCAATGTTTAATTCCAGTGGTGGGATTAAACTAGTTCAATAATAATAATCTAAAAATAGAAAAACAACATAGTTCTAACAACATGGTGCATGTTTTTTATCTAGGGGAAAATATATTGTCTCTCAGGCTTTTATAAAACCATGAAAATTCCAGACAATTGTTAACGAAATGAAAAAAAAAAAAATCTCGTCTGGGAGAATATGCGGTTTGGCTGACAGTCAATTAGAGACTTTAGGTAAGAAGTATATTCCTCTCACTGCAGTTAAATGGAAGATCAATTTATTGCGCAGAGCAATAGTGGAAAGTTCTCTTTGTCTTCAATACAAGATATAGTGTAGAGTGCTAAAATTTATTTATATGTTTCATCAGATTTTAATGTCTGGGTGTGATTTAGTGTTCTCATGTCTTCATGTCTGGGGTGATTTAGTGGTCTTTAACCTACTTGAACTGAAAAGTGTTTAGATCAGATTTGAACCAGTTTTGAATATTTTTTTTTTTTTTAATAATTTGAAATCCATTTTAACCTTTTTAATGAAATGTGCTAAATTAAAAGTAGAGCAAATTAAGTAACATGTATTAGACATGGGTAAATTTTCCTTGTTGATTTTCGTGTTATTTCTTGATAAATTTAATATTCAGTATTTCAGTGTTACCAGATTACAGGTTCTATAATTCTTATTATATGTATCAGTAAAAAAATGGAAAAAAGTTTCAAGAAAATAAATCAGTCCCCCACCCTTCCCCCAAATCCTCACACTCTTTTTTTACAAAATCTGAATAAAATCTGAGCTCCGAAGTTATGCTATGCTCATGATGATTGTGTAAAATTAATAATTATGTTAACCCATTACTGCATGAGCATTTTGTGAAAAAATGACTGTTTTCATGGAATAGTGGATCTTCTTGATATGGAACTCTTGTTTAGCTGGAAAGATGCCATTTGACATAATATAATGTCTTGGTACAACGTAAAACCCAATCAATTAAGAAATGTAAAAAGATGAAATAAAAATAAAACATGGCCATTATCTGACAAGATAAAAAAAGTATTAAAAAAATGTTAGCTCCCAGAATGGCGTGAACACCATTTGCAAACTAAAATGGTAGCCTTACTGTAAATGAATACTTCTCAGGAAGGATGTTGTGCGTTAAGACATCAAATACCGTAAAAAAGTTGTTTTATTGTTGTTATAGTTTATTAAAAAGCCATTGGCCAATCTTGGGAGATCACTCAGTTTTCCTAACTGTAAATGTCTTTAACAAGTACTGTTGTTTATTGTTGTTTTAGTAACAGTAGCTGAGTACTCGGTTGTCCAAACTACAAAATGTCTTCAATGAGTTATTTTATTGTTACAGTAAACTACAAAATGCATTCAAAGAGTTGTTTTATTGTTATGGTTACAACACCTGGCTGAGTCTGGCGAGGACTCGGTCATCCAAACTACAAAATGTCTTCAATGAAATGTTTTATTGTTATATATATAGTTACAGCACCTGGCTGAGTCTGGTGAGGACTCGGTTGTCCAAACTATAAAATGCCTTCAAAGAGTTGTTTTATTTTTACAGTTACAACAGCTGGCCGAGTCTGGCGAGGACTCGGTTGTCCAAACTATAAAATGTCTTCAATGAAATGTTTTATTGTTATAGTTACAGCACTCTGGTGAGGACTCGGTTGTCCAAACTATAAAATGTCTTCAAAGAGTTATTTTATTGTTATAGTTACAACAGCTGGCCGAGTCCTGGCAGACTCGGTCGTCCAAACTATAAAATGTCTTCAAAGAGTTATTTTATTGTTATAGTTACAACAGCTGGCCGAGTCCTGGCAGACTCGGTTGTCCAAACTACAAAATGTCTTCAATGAGTTATTTTATTGTTATAGTTACAACAGCTGGCCGAGTCCTGGCAGACTCGGTTGTCCAAACTACAAAATGTCTTCAATGAGTTACTTTATTGTTATAGTTACAACAGCTGGCCGAGTCCTGGCAGACTCGGTTGTCCAAACTATAAAATGTCTTCAAAGAGTTGTTTTATTGTTATAGTTACAACAGCTGGCCGAGTCCTGGCAGACTCGGTCGTCCAAACTATAAAATGTCTTCAAAGAGTTATTTTATTGTTATAGTTACAACAGCTGGCCAAGTCCTGGCAGACTCGGTCGTCCAAACTATAAAATGTCTTCATAGAGTTGTTTTATTGTTATAGTTACAACAGCTGGCCGAGTCCTGGCAGACTCGGTCGTCCAAACTATAAAATGTCTTCAAAGAGTTGTTTTATTGTTATAGTTACAACAGCTGGCCGAGTCCTGGCAGACTCGGTCATCCAAACTATAAAATGTCTTCAAAGAGTTGTTTTATTGTTATAGTTACAACAGCTAGCCGAGTCTGGAAAGGACTCGGTTGTCCAAACTACAAAATGTCTTAAATGAGTTGCTTTATTACAGTAAACTACAAAATATCTTCAAAGAGTTGTTTTATTTTTACAGTTACAACAGCTGGCCGAGTCTGGCGAGGAGTCAGTGGTCCTTACTGCGAATGTCTTAGAGGGGACAGCAGACCACCTTGGGTCGAACCGAGGGGCAGGGTTCCTTGAAGATCATGAACAGCTTCAGAAACAGTTTCTCTCTTATTGTGCAGGTACGATTTCTTACACTGTATTTTTTGACTTTTGTTACTCACTTGCATAGGATTTATTTCGCGCCCTAAAAATCTGCAATTATTCTTCTATGCCCCTTTGTGGTGGAAGGTTGCTTTTAAGTTTTGAACCGCCTCCGTGGTCGAGGGGTTAGAGTCGATGACTTCTAATCCAGTTACCCATCTGGCTTGGGTTCGATCCCGTAGTTTAGCACGGAGGAAGGTAGTCTAATACTGGTGTAACTGTCCAGGAACGATGGTTAGGAAACTACCCGCCTATATGACTGAAATATTGTTGGGAAAAGGCGTAAAATGAATCAAACAAATAAAACAAACAATTTTAAGTTTTGAGACATCAGAATTGCAGCCATCATTTAACCCAGCGTGATCATAAGAGGCGTCTAAATGATATTCAACCCACCCAATGGTTTTCGATACGTTACTCTTGGCTAATAGAGTCACAGGTAGGAAGTGATTTTAATGAGATTGGGTGTCACACCCAGATGTCTTTCTCCACCAATAATGCTGGGCAGACACCATAAATCATTTACATCCTCAATTCCATTTCAGATTGGCAGACATGTTTTCCAACTAATTATACTATATGTTGAGATATTGTGCGAATTTGTGTACGGGCAATGTCTCCCCTCTGCTAAAAGCGAGATTCTGATCCAGAACTAAAATATCTCAGAAACTAGCTTTGGCACATCAAAATATTTTGACTTAGGCAGACTCCATACATCATTGATATTGTCAATATGAAATTTTTAGATATTAAAATCATATTAATAATTATCATTTTCACTCTGTTACTGTTCTTCAGTGGAGACACAGTTCGGATATGATTTTTATGAGGTTTGGTGAGGTCTTATACCACCAATAATATTCGGCAGACTATAGAAGTCCTAGACATTCTGCGATATAATTTTAGATATTTCCGTTTTTTTTTCAGAGACCGGGAGACTGTCAGTGGACGAGGAAGCTGATAATCTACCTCCTCGCAGTTCATTAAGTGATAACAATTTACTCTCCCCCACACTAGTTTCCTCTGCATCACCATATCACAGAGTAAGTATAAAACATTTTTACAGAAACACTGAATTACAAACACTGAATTCAGTGAATTGTTCGAGTTAAGTTTTTCAACCTGAATAAATCGATATGAACCTAGTTCTAGTCAGTGGTAATATTTTTCAACCTGTATCAATCGAAACAAACGTGGTTCTAGATAAGTTATAACATTGTCCATTAGTTGAGTTTTTCAACCTGAGTAAATCGATATTTATCTTGTTCTTACATTATCCAAGTTTAGTTTTTTAACTTGAATAAATCAATATGAAACTGGTTCTAGTTAAGTTCTAACATTGTCCAAGTTAAGTTTTTACAGTCTAAATATGTTGATACGAAACTGGTTCTAGTTAAGTTCTAAAGTTTTCCAAGTTAAATTTTAAGGCCTTTAATGTGTTCTTTTATTTTTTTCTGTTTTAAACAATCATGCTAATTTTCCAGTCTGAGCCGGTAAGAAGTCGCTATGATAGGGAGAGCAGTACCTCCGACTCAGTGTTCTCCCCTGATCGAAGAAAAAGTTCTGCAAGCTCAAAGAGCTTAGACGAGGATGTGGCGATGCTTACAAGTCAGGATTATTCAGATACTCCAAGATCTCTCAGCGATTCCTCAGCAAATTGGGCCCCCGATTCCTCAGGAGGGTCGTTAGATACCGGTGGGGCAGGACTTAGGTATGGTATAAGTCGAAGTCCTACCAGCAGAACGGCTGAATTGGCGGAGAGAATGAAACATACGTCTAAAAGTCCAATGAGCGACAACGTAGAAAATATAAAGCACATTACGTTATCTAGTCCCTCAGAATTTCAGTACAGGAAATTTCATCATCAACACTCGGGGAGCTACGGAGCTACCAGTACTGGGTTGTACGATCCTCAAAGGTTGCCGCCCATGTTTGAATTCTCGAAACCGGCCCAGTTTCCGATCGCTACAGGCTCTGAAGAAAGTAGTTTGAATTACAGTACAAAATCAAACAGTGGAACAGTCTCGACAACGGAAGAGGAGATGCAGGAGATAAGTGCGGGAAATACGGGTCAAGGTAATTCTGGTGCGGGTACTAAATTGATATACAGCAGTGAATCCTCTCCCAACACGACCAACACGACAGAGTCTGTGTTCTCGCCCTATGTTATGTATAAAGTTCCCTTCTCAAATTACTCAGATAGAGCTGTTAAACAGAGGACTCCGTCAGAAGGCTACAGGCAGGGATACGAGGAAGAAGGTGGCGAAACTAAGTACAAACCTCAGTACCATACTCAAGATGGTGGCCAGGAATCACCGTCCGTGGCGGATACGTATTGTGGTGTGCGAAAGCAGAGAATATCAGTCGGAACTCGGTGAAATCTATCGGCTGCCCAAAAAACTTGAATCAAAAATGTATAAACAAAGTAGCTCTGTGAGGAAGCACTCAAAAAGTGGTATGGAACGGCGAAGTTCGGAAACTTTGTCCGTTCAAAGTTTTGAATCAAGTTCGAGCCAATCAGTACTTCAAGTGAAAGATGAGGATACAAGTACTGGGGATACTGTAAAAAGTCCAGATATGATCTCACAAAGTGAAATTTCTAAAAGTTTTGAGGAGGCAGTAAAAATTCAACAAAGTATATTTCATTCAAGTTTAGGCCTATTTTCTCCCCTTCAAAGACAATTTCTCCAGCCTACAAGGCCCTGTCCTCAACGGGAGAGAAGTCAGTCTTTGAGTGACTTTCACACACTGACTTCTCCGGACGTTCAAACTCATGCAGGCCGCGCGCGTTTTCCAAGTTCAAGTTACGCTGAAAATTTGGACACGCCTCTGGTAATTGATGATGACTCTAAAACAGAAAGTGATATGCGCGAAGGTTTAGATTTAAGTAATAAGAAGCGTAAAATGTCAGTGGATCGATCTATACTCGTCTGCAGCAGACGAGCAAATGGATTCATCAAATGTAAATTTATCGGCCAATCAGAGCGAAGAACAAGAATACGAAAGACTGATGCAGGCTCAAGGGGGCGGGGCTTCAGCTAGAGATGACTCTACGTCAGGAAGTACAAAGAAGTACGGCAAAGGTAACTTTATCAAAGTTGCGACGGGTTATCAGTGCCGGATATGCTGCCGGGTTATACGTCACATGAATAATACGACGGCACATATGCGTATCCATGCCAACGTGAAGCCGTATAAATGTCAGGTGTGCAATCAGCAGTTCAAGTACGAAGTTGATCGTAGGTATCATTTCTCGAAGAATCACGTAGATCTCTTTTCAAAAATGTATTTTCCCGATGAAAAGAAGTCCGGATGATTTTATAACATTATTACTTCAACAGAGCGGGTCAGACTGATCAGGGATGTACTTACCTCCATATTTGTCAGTTTTTTTTCTCTACATTTGTCAGGATTTTTTTCTGCATTTGTCAGATTTTTTCTTAATTTTTTTTGTCAGAATCATATTTTCTGCATTTTTTTTCCAGATTTTTATCTGAATAATATTATATTTTCCTTTTTTGTTACTTTCCAAAATTTTAAGAATTTGTCAGATTTTTTCCTGATTTTAAGAATATGACAAATTTTCACGGGTACTTTTGTCAGTAAACATTGTTCGCATTTTGTCAGATATAGTACAATTTTCTCAATTTTATTGAAGAACTATCCTTTTATGTAATATTTGAACTATCCCATCATTTAATATTTGGTAATGGTTATTTCAAATTTCTTACTGTGTTATGAATGATATAGTAACAAATTTTAACAAAATATACCAGCATTGAATACTGGATTAATAAATTTTGATTAATGAAGATAAAAGAACTAAAAAAAAATTGTTATCAAGTTAAATTCAGTTTTATTTTTCGTTTTTTTTTTGTGTTTTTTGAATTATTATGTACAGGTCATTCAAAATGTCCTGTGCATTTAATCACATTTTTGATGATTATAAGACTTTTTCCTTTATTGTTTATACTGTCGATCAGGTATCCTCTGAAAATTGGTTGTGCATTTGCTAACGTTTTATAAACGAAATGATGTACTTTATATTTGTAAATATCGCTGTCCGTACGCTTAAAGCTGATGTAACTTTTTTTTTTCACTCTTATAATGTTATATATATATATAATGGTACTTGATTTGTTTGTGTTTTGTTTATTTTGTTATTTTATATTTTTTATTTGTTAGAGTAATGCTGTCTTTCTGGATGAGAAAAAAAAAGAAGAATTTTTTTTAAAGGAAATCTTGATTTATTTTTATTTAAAGCTATTTTTAGACATGTCGAACATACTTGAAGACAACAGGTGTTAATATTCGAATCATAATCAATTATAGATTTTAATGACTAAGAAAAGTCTTTCCATTTATTGGTTACAAAAATAAAAAAGAAGGAACATTTTTTTTAACAAATGATCATTAATTGTAATGAAAATGATTCAAAAAATTGGTTTCATTGTTCAAGCAATTAAAGCATACAATTTATGAACTTTCAGTTTGTTTGTTTGTAACAGTCTAGAATTTTCTTTATTTTATTCTATTTTTTTTGAAATTCTGCCATTTTATTGGTCAATTTTGAATTTCTAAAATTTTGAATTGACCAATGGGAGTGCAGTATAGAAAGACTGGTTCTCAGAATATGATGTAAAGATGGAATAGACCGGTTATAGAAGACAGTATTTTATGTGAAAAAACCTTCGCAGTATTCCATGATTTTTAGTCTGCTTAGTAAAATATTATTTTGTTAATCCTATTACGGCGTATGAATGTATCCGGTTAATTGATTGTTAATTAATTGTTAATTGTTATTTTTGGTGATTCTTACAATGTGTATACTCAAAACTTGTTATCAGTAGATTTATAGTGTTACTGAGTAACGACTTATGATTTTTTTTTTTCTGATTTTTTTTTTGTATAATTAAGAAAAGACGCCTTTTAGAATTGTCTGTTTAACAGATGTTTGTGATATGTGTTGAAATGTGATTGAGTATGGGAGGGTTGGATGTGCAGATCATGGTAGTTCACCAGTGTAAAATTTAAAAAATATGAAGAGCAAAAACAAGGGAGACAATTTAATTAGTTTTAAGAATATAAATTGAAGTGAAAAATAAGTTTGCTCTGTCACGTGCATTTCGTCAGTCTGTGTAGATTTTACATTAAAAAAGAAAAATTGCAATGATCCGTAACTTTAAATTGCATAGGCAGAGTTGTGTCCCTTTACCTTGTTTTGTTAAAAAGCTTAGATTTTTACATTGAGTGTTTAGAGTGAACTTGTAGAATATTCATTTCAATGCATAGAATTAAAGATAGAATGGTCTGAAAGTTTGATTTGCAGTTCTACAGTTTTACCAAACCTTTCACTGTTTGTTACTTATAATCAAGTATTCTTATAACATAATAGTATACTACAGTTTAAGGAATTCTCAAATTCAGGGATATTTCCTTTTTGAGATTCAGTTGAGTGTTAAAGTTATTTCTTATCTCATTGGCTAACTGCACTTGTGTATGTTATTGGAGATAGTGCCTTTTGTTTCAAACTTACACAAATACTGGTGTTTCAAACTTACACAAATACTTGTGTTTCAAACTTACACAAATGCTGGTGTTTCGAACTTACCCAAATGCTGGTGTTTCAAACTTACACAAATACTGGTGTTTCAAACTTACACAAATACTGGTGTTTCAAACTTACACAAATACTGGTGTTTCAAACTTACACAAATACAGGTGTTTCAAACTTACACAAATACTGGTGTTTCAAACTTACACAACTACTGGTGTTTCAAACTTCACAAATACTGGTGTTTCAAACTTACACAAATACTGGTGTTTCAAACTTACACACAAATACTGGTATTTCAAACTAACACAACTACTGGTGTTTCAAACTTACACACAAATACTAGTGTGTCAAACTTACACAAATACAGGTGTTTCAAACTTACACAAATACTTGTGTTTTAAACTTACACAAATACTGGTGTTTCAAACTTACACAACTACTGGTGTTATAAACTTACACAACTACTGGTGTTTCAAACTTACACAACTACTGGTGTTTCAAACTTACACAAATACTGGTGTTTCAAACTTACACAACTACTGGTGTTTCAAACTTACACAAATACTGGTGTTTCAAACTTACACAACTACTGTTGTTTCAAACTTAAACAAATACTGGTGTTTCAAACTTACACACAACTACTGGTGTTTCAAACTTACATAAATACTGGTGTTTCAAACTTACACAACTATTAGTGTTTCAAACTTACACAACTACTGTTGTTTCAAACTTAAACAAATACTGGTGTTTCAAACTTACATAAATACTGGTGTTTCAAACTTACACAACTATTAGTGTTTCAAACTTACACAACTACTGTTGTTTCAAACTTAAACAAATACTGGTGTTTCAAACTTACACACAACTACTGGTGTTTCAAACTTACACAAATACTGGTGTTTCAAACTTACACAACTACTGGTGTTTCAAAATTACACAAATACTGGTGTCTACAGGTGTTTCAAACTTACACAACTACTGCTGTTTCAAACTTACACAAATATTGGTGTTTCAAACTTACACATCTACTGGTGTTTCAAACTTACACAAATATTGGTGTTTCAAACTTACACAAATACTGGTGAACTATCAGGTTTCAATAAGGTCATAATCAAAACAAATGTTTGTTTGTTGTCTCTTAGTTCAATTTGTTAAGAAACAGTAAAATTTAATGAAAGAAAGACATCTTTATTTTCATAAGTCTGGAGACAAAGAAAATAGACTTTGTTTTTTTATAAAAGATGACAAGAGATCAGCCCATAGAACTTGAAGTTGAAAACCAGTCAACACACTACCATTGGTCCATTTTAAATTGTACTGTTTGAAATCAACCAATCATTGATAAGTATTTTTTGTATTTTGACTGGTATTCCATTTTCAAGTTTTTGTTTATGTGTTTGGTATTCCAAAAACATGGCTGTTTATATTGTTGTGTAATAAAAAAGTGAAGTTATTATCACTCATGAATGGTGAACCGGTTATTATTCTGTTAAAGTATACAAATGTTATATAAAAAAGAGAAGAGTTTATTTTTCATGTTATCAAAATTTTTGAATGTTTGTTGAAGAACCCATATGATGGGTCATACTTTTCCCCTCCCCCCCCCCCCACAAGAAAATATTTAAGTGCTGTACAGTAGATTTTTTATGTTATGTGATGATGTTTTTTTTTTTATTGTTATCACATTATATAGTTTGGTATGTTAGACTTATGCTATGATGAAAGAATCATGTTTTAATTGTCGGTTAAATTTGATGTGAATTAGTTATTATGATTCCTTTACTGGTGTTACTAATTTTAACTTTTCCAAGGCTAAAAATAGCCATCTGTTACTATTTTTAACTTTTCCAAGACTATTTATAGCCATCTGTTACTATTTTTAACTTTTCCAAGACTATTTTTAGCTGCAGGTGTAATTTGTTATCGCAGCTTTGGATCTTGATTCAATATTAAAAGTTTAAAGAGTATTCTCAATTTGCTTGATTTAGATCAAGCTTTATCAATGGTAGAGCAATATGGCTGATTTTTTTTTCAATCAAAACAATTTGCATTTTTGGACCAGAATGATTTTATTATAGATCAGAACGGTTGTATTTTAAGAGCAATCAACTGTTTACTAGTAATTATAAAGGTTATGTAGATTTTTATAATGTTTGTTCTCCAATACAAATGAAAGTTTTATTAATTTTAATGAGTAATTTGAGATGTTTTTACAAAACTTAACTGGAAACCAAATACTGTAAAATCAGAAAATTTTGTGAGGCCAAATTTTTCATGAAAATTCAACATTACAGGCTTATTGGAGAGGTTAAATATTCCCTAATATTTCCTATGTTTTCATTGTCTAGATTTTTTTTTTACAATATGAATATATACACCTTTTTACCTAAAATTGTTAGACTTTTCCAGTTAAGAAATTAGATTGTATGAAAAAAACAAAACAAAAAAAAAACCCCAAACAAATAACTTACATTTTGTTAACTGATTGTAAATCATTTCAGGGAAAATACATGCTACATACTATCTTATGTTAAAATGTAGCAGATCTATTTCAATATTATTTTTTAAAGTGGTCAATCCATCAAAAGCTGGAAGATACCTTTTTTTGCTTATTTATTGACTAGTATCAGTAAAATATTATGAATATGCATGTTTTCAAAATAGAACAGTTTTTCTTTGACTCATTGGATCAATATATAAACTATCTCAAAATCTTGCACAAATTTTGCAGTTTGAAAGAATGGAAGTTTGTAGTTTAGGTAAAAAAAAAATCAGCAAATTTCGTTAAACTTAGAATTTAAATGAGTAGTATTTCCAACATCAAGTAATGAAATTAGTAATTGAAATTTGCTGTCAATATGTAGTACTTTCTAAAATTGTAATGTCTAATTATTACTGTTCAAGAAATTCTCATTCAGGGCAGTGTAACTTTGAATTTCTGTAATGAGTAATTATTCTTTTGATGGTGACGTGAATATTGTTGTGGAATGTTTTCCAGCTATTGATGGATGTACCACCTTAAAACTGGCTAAGGGTTGAGAAAGTTTTTGCTTGTTAGTTATTATATGAAATATGTAACAAAAATATATGATGCTTTTAATATGCTATTGTTTTAAGTGCTGAAATCTGTTATATTTGTTATTTGTTGTCGTTAATTGCCACATTAGACCTCTGTTTTATATAGTTAAATTGTTGTTAATAGTGAATTCTTTTTGTTTTCTATTGTACTGAAATGATAATTTTCGTTTTTTTTCTTTTTATAAAAAAATGTATTTGAATCAAATCATCGACTGGTCAAAGAACATGTTCTAAGAATTTTATCAGATAAATATTTTAATCAAAGTGACCCAGCATTTCTGTTTGACTATCAAAATAGTCTGAACTGTGAGAGTCACTGTGGTCTCTGTCGTGGATGGAATGATCTTATTTATGTCCATGATGTCAACAAATATTGATCATTAGGGAGGATATTGTAGTTGTGTTGGTTCCATTCCAGGGCAACAGCGAAATTTTACTCCATGACCAATTGATCATTTTATGAATTTATTGGTCATTTGGCTGGTACCGCCAATTTGGAAATTATATACGGTTAGTAGGAAGGTCAATTGCGGTAAAATTGGCAGTAACTGGTTAGTTATACAGCCAAGGCAGTTTAGGGGACCAATGGGATATGATCAGAAATATGTGGAAATCGGAGTAAAATCCAACCAAACAAACAGGCACTGATTACAGTTCAAGTTTGAACAGTTATTTGCTATTTTAAAGCACAAATTATTCGATTAGGTCAGAACAATTCCAATTTGTTTGGGTCAAATTTATAGAACATATTCTTTGACTATAATCCATAAATTTTGAATGTGTTTTTATAGAAATTCTTAACATTTGTAGATAAATGTTTGTATCCTTTAGTTTTAAGTTTTGATAAAAACATAAGTAATATTAACATTCTTGGCAGTTACAGAAATAGTAATTATTCTTCAAACATTAAAGCGGCCTTCAGCATTTCTAAAGGGTAGATAAATTATGATATTTTTAGATAAATTGTTTCATATAATTGTCAAATTAAAAGAATTAAGGTGGAAAATAAAATTTGTCGACAATAAAATATATAAACAATAAGAAAACCCCTTGATACCTCTTATTTACCAGTCTGCTCTCTATATTTAAATAAGTAAAGCAGATGATTCTTTTCCTATTCTTCTATTGTTAGAAACAAACATCACTGACAAGGTAAAGACTGCTCTCAGGATGCTGTTTTGAAGAAGGCTTAATGATGCACTTTTCCGAAATAAAAATCACTGAAATACTAAGTTTGAAACAAGAAACAATTGTTTTTCCAACAGAAAATATAGCCTGAAGGCCGCTTTTAATCAATATCATTTGATGAACGCCCCCCTCAGGAAAACACTGTTGATTACTATTACATACATGCATTACTTTATGGTAAATTATTACTACTTGAAATGATTACTTTTACATGCTTTAATTACAAATAATAGTAATATCTTTTTTGTCTCCTCAGATGATTGTTACATTTAGTGGTTTTCTTTTTAAATAATCGTAATGAATCTGAATGATTACCTTAGAAGTAATTGTAATTTTCTTTAAAAAGAAAAATTACTTTTACTTTTTTCAGTATACAACTAATAGTAATTACTCTGAAAGAAATAATTTAAGTTTGAATATAGAAATAAACTCCAGTTTCAATTTTAATTTCTGAAAGAAATACAAATTTTAATGTTAAAGTAAATGTGTAATTACTATTACTTTCTGTTACTGTTATGCTAAATTTGTTATCATTTTGTAAAAATTACATGTACTTGCAAAGAAAGTCTTGTTAACAATTTTCCAAAAAAAAGCATTGCAATGCTTTTCACTCAAATCAATGCAAATAATAGCACAAAAAATATGATTTCCAATTTATTTCCGAGTATAATTTCTAAATATCTTTTGAATATCTTTCAGTTTTAAGTGCCCAGGCTGATCTTTGTAAGGAATTCAAATTTTATGTTATTAGGATTTTGGACCTCAGTGGAGTTCCTTTAAAAAAAATTTGATACATCTATAAATAGACGACTATTTTTAGCAGACAACATATTCAGCAGACGACAATTTTCAATTTTTCACATTTGACACCAGATTACCTCACAAATACTGCAAACTGATTTTTTTTGCCCCCTCTTGTTTTTTAAAAACTGCAAATTAACTGACAACTGTTGTTACGATATAAATATAAAATATATATTTCCTGTTTATATACTTTTAAACATTTATATAAATGACTAAAATACCTCATGCTATTTTTTGTATATTTTTAACATTTCGCAGTATATTCAGGACGAAAATTTTTCTCATTGCATTTTATTATTATTTTTTTTATATATTCATGGAATGAATGTGAAAAAAAAAGCAACCCAACTACCTTTAAACAGCAACAGTTGGATACCTCATGGAATTGCCAGTTTGAATAAAACAGGGGTTTTTGTTATCAAAAGATATATAAAAAAAAACCGGTTGTTGAATTTTAAAAAACAAAATTACTTTCATTACTTAACTGCTTTAATACCTCTCATGAAAAATTACCTCAATATGAACCGCGTCATGACAAAACCAACATAATTGGTTTGCGACCAGCATGGATCCAGACCAGCCTGCGCAACCGCGCAGTCTGATCAGGATCCATGCTGTTCGCTGTCAGTTTCTGTACTTGTTATAGAGTTTGTAAGCGAACAGCATGGATCCTGATCAGACTGCACGGATGCGCAGGCTGGTCTGGATCCATGCTGGTCGCAAACGCATTACATTGGTTTTGTCATGACACAGCTCATATATATGTCGTCACCTTATTACAGTAACGGGTTATCTCCCATTTTGAGGCAATAGGAATTAGGTCGTTACTGTTCTAAAATGACGGTATATTATTCTCATTATATTTCATATGTATGTGCGTTAAAATAATACAAAATGCTTCAGCATGTAACTTTTTTTTTTTTTGGAAGTCATCATATCAAATATTATGCCATAATTGTCAAATCGTGCATTTTTACCTTTTACATAAAAAATTACCTTATTATACCGGAAACTCACTCTGAAAAAATGTGAGTAATTTTTATTTTAGGGAGTATTTTATACTACCTTAGAAAGAGTTAGGCTCTCGTGTAGTCGCATTTAACAATTCAACAGGAAACTTACTATGAAAAACTGTTAGTAATTTTTATTTTAGGGAGTGTTTTTAAATTTTCTTAGAAAGAGTTGGGCTC